AATGGAGCTTCCACTTCTCTCACATCAATTACATCTCTCATATATCTTCATTGTGGAGAAGAAAGAAATCAATTCCGCTCGTAGGAACAGAGATCTGGTTCTCCCGGTGGCCTGATTAGGGAGTTGTTGGTTGTCATGGGCTTTATATAACCATTGAATTCAATACTTGATGAAAACAATATTCCGATGGAATCTTATTCGCTACAATGTGTGTGAAGGGTATTTCGGCATTTCATATTTGGTGTGCTCCATCTCCTTAATCCCGATATCCAAATGATGTAAAATGCTTGATGCTCAATAATTCCAATTTCATTTCATCAGTATGAATATTTCTTATAACCGTCCTTATAATATGTTCCAAGGGCTTTTGACAGATACTGAATGTGTCTCAATCTTAAGGACGAAGTCTCAAATCCCTGGCCCTGCATTTTCATTTTCCTTACTTAAAACCATTACTAACTTGGTTACGAATTTGCAGGAGAATTCTCTGACTATGGGCTCCTGCTCGTTTTATCTTACAGGAGTCCCTTGCTGAATTCGCTTCATATTGAAGGGAAATCGCAAGTGCTGAGCTTAAGAAGCCTCAGTACAATGACCTTGAGTAAACACCTTAAAACGTGTGCCTCAAATTTAAAGCAAGAATTCTCAAATCAAAGATTCTTGTTATTCATCATAGAAATCAGTTACTGCATGCACTGCAAAGTTTGAACATGAATTCTGAAATCCTGGAGTCCTGTTCGCCTCATTTTCTATAATTCCAGTACTAAATGTATTTCAATTTGGAAGAAGGAATTTACATGTCTTGGGCTTCTTCTTTTCACTACCCAATTCCTGCGTAAATGTGTCTTAAAATTTCATCAGAAAATAACAACTATGCAGAACATCACATCCATTGCATTGGAGACCATGAGAATATGCTTGATAGGGGGCTTTTATAGAGAAAAACGAAGCCACAGACTTGAGAACTGATATTTAGAGTTACAGCGTAGTTTGTAAGGAATTCATACATAGCAAAACGAGGAGAACAGAAGACCAACATTTCAGACTTATTGTTTATTCTATATTTGAAACACATGTAGCAATTATGAGAAACATTGACAACGAGATACGCATTCTGTAAAGAATGTGCACAGCCATGATAGGCCTTCTCCTTGACATCAGTCCTGCCAACATGTCAAAAGTATGGCCTCGCAACAGTCACATCTCTAGTAGTATTAATTAAACAGTTATGATAACACGAATAAGAGTTTTAATTTAAAAAGTGATGAAGGTCACAAAAGTAATCATGATAAGCGTAAGAATGATAAGCGTAATACCAACATTACAAGGATAAGAGGGAGTAAGAATAGAACTAGTAATCACAATGATGCTAATAGTAACGGTAATAGCGGTAGTCAAAACAATAACAATACTAGCAATAATAATCATAGTAGGAATAGTAGAGTATAACAAGGACCTTACTAATAATGATAGGAATGATAGCTGCGACGCCGTTTCCTCTTACTTAGCCCCTCTTGCAACATGTAGCAACATGCAGTCCTTTTGTGTAGCTCCTCGGGTGAAATCTAGCAAAACACAGTCCTTTTCTGTAATGCCTCTTATGAAATGTGCAAAAACGCAACAGTAGTCTTTGCCCCCCTAACCTGATGAAAATAGTAGGTATAGTATCAGTACTGCTAGTATTGATAAGCTTGGATTCTCCATCGCAGTTCTTGTCATGAGGTCAGGAAGTGCGTGTTGCTGCGAAGCCAACATGGTAAGGGCATGTAAGGGCAGACAAATTTCCTCTGAGGTTTTGAAATCGATGTATCCGGGTGTGCGGCGCTGGGTCCGGGCCAGGCAAGCCTACCTGGTAATGAAGAAGCAGCTTGCAGTGCCAGATCCCTTGAAAGATTTCTCGTTCTTATGACTTAATCTGGATTCGATTGAGCTTTGGTGCGAGTCCCGAATTCACGTGCAAGAGCACTGCACCTTTACATGGCTGTGCCTTGTTCGTTTTGGCTCAAGCAGGGGATGTGCGCAAACGAAGCTCCCACCATGGCCAGATCGCAAGATGTTTCTGAGGAGCCTGAGCACGAACGATTGAAGGGGCTTTTCGACAGGTATGCCGTCTCAGAAGAGCAACAGGATTTGTTTTTCAAGATGAGGAAGCTTACCAACATGCCTGCTATGTTCCACACGCATGCTGACGACGAGCAAATGCTTTGGGCAGTGTTGGTCGGGTCTGCAGAGCTCCCTGAAAATCCGACCACCTCTGATAGAACTTTTGTTGCGAGGAAGATTGAAGAACGCCTTCGAAATCTCGAAGAATCCGAGCGCCGTTTCAAATGGTTTTCTGCCCAATGGACCAAGCCAATGATGCGACAGTTAATTCGCAATTGGTTTTGCGGAAGCCTTGTTATTTGTCCAGAATTGGCCGCGTCGTCGGGGTCGCCCGGTCGCCCATTCAGTTTGTACGTGAATACTACGGTGACGAAATCGCCTATCCACCCCCAGAAGGGCAGACAGATGAGTGGAAGGACTTCCAGGCTTCCCTTTACGTGCTTATGGCGCGAAGCACTTGTCTTGCCTACCCCATGGCGACCGCTAAGGGGATTGTTTCGTTCTCAGACATGCAGCAGGACTTTGACTGGGCAAAATATGACATGGAGAGCAAGAGCCGGAACTCTGACATTGTCGCGAATGATTGCATTCCATCCGGATGACAAGATGGTCAAATTCTATGAAGATATGGGTGCTCGGGCGCGCAAGAAGTGGGGCTTTGAACAGTATGCAACCTTTGCTGACGCCGTTGCTGGCGAACAAAGCCTACTACCGGAGCTGCTGCCATCTTTTGTTGGCGGGACTTATAGGATTGATGTGGCAGAGTGTTTGAGGTACCTCTTCCGACCAGAGCCGGAAGCGTTAGCGTTGATGGAAGAAACGCTCGCGGAGATGAGGGCTGCCAATGAAATTCCAAATCCCAAGCACATGCAATAATCTGCATAAGCAGATATTCCATAATCCACATAAGAAATCAGCAGGAAATCGCCCAATACGACCACTCTAATAATTTCGGCTCCTGATCTGGTTTCAGGTGACTGGCCGTTGCTTGTCATTCGTCTTGTCAGTGCCGCATCTGCCATACGATATGTTGGCACCTGGTTTCACAAGAATCCATGTAGCAGAATCTGGAAACGATCCGCGATTCTTTGAGTTGATTTTGGGGCACTTGGCAACATCATGGGCTTCTCCTGGTTGATGCCAGGCTTGTCTCATTGGCTGCCGCCCGCCGTTCATTGGTGAGGTGGTGGAGGCCATCTGCCCTGCTGGCAACACGGCTCCTTAGCATGAGTGAGTCTGTACATATAGGTGCAGCCCCGGCTTTTGAATCAGTGCTGTCGCGTTTTACTTTAGAGTCTACCGAGGATCGCTTCCAGGTGCCCCTTGCGCATAAGACTCCGCGGCTTGGCGCAACTTGCAGTTTCCGGGTTTGCACGTGAAATCGCTCAAACGAAGACCAGTTTCAATCATGATCTGTTAAGGCAAAAGGCGTTGTGAAGCTTTATAGCAGTTTCCATGACATTTTCCGTTTGATGTGCCATTTGGATCCCATTGTTGGAGTTGTGTCCTCGATTCTTTCAGTTGGGGCCTCCCAGGCTCTGCGAACTTCGCTGTCCAGACCCGGAGCGGGCGCCGCCAGGCTACCGGCTGATGACGACGGAGCATGGCCAGCATCTTCTCATTCTCTTGTTGGGGGTGAGAAAGGAATATAGGAAGACATGGATAAGTAATATTTATATATAATATGTATATATATATATACTATCAAGGAATTATATAGGGATTATATAGAAATTACAGTAAGTCCTTTGCTTGATTCAGTTTGGACATGGAAGCTTCTCAAAGAATGCCCGTACAACCCCCAGGACCCCTACCAAACCCCCTCCTATGCCTGGAGTCATTGGAAACCCACCACTTTGAGCAACCCTCCCCTCCTGTGTTCATGGTGAAACATCTTCAGCAGGGCATCTGGACTTTGCCAAGTTCATCCAAACGTTTTGTAGCCAAACGCAAGAGGCAATGGCAAGCTTCGAGCTACTGAAACAGCTTGCTACCATTGCCTAGCTTGACTCTGCCATGAGCCGCTAACCTTAGAAAACTACACTGCGTGAGCTATAGTCTACACTCTTTACACAGGGTTATACAGACTAAGGGGTATACTAGGAGTGTAGACTGTAGCTCACATGTCCTCCAGATCTAGGACATGTAGTCAGAAGCTACGAACCCAGCTGAGCTCAGAATCGGCCGACTCCGCCTGGGGCGGCTGGCAATGGTGGCGAGTGGCAATGCATGCCAGACTTCACTGGATTTCCTCTGAAGCGCTTTGACTTGAAGAGCTTTCAGTCGCTCAAGCAGATTTATGTAGGAATTCCACAGGGATTATATAAGGATTCTGTTGGGATTATGCAGGGATTGTGTAGGCAGTAATTAAATATTCATTATAGTAAATTGTCATCCTCCATCCTCTCAAAGGCACTGCAATGCCACAGCTGGCTGTAATGAGACCGACGCGGAGCAGCTGGATGAAGCAGGACTTCCCAGCTGCCAGCCTTGGGTACTGCAGAAAGTACTATAGTACTACTATAGATTGTACTATAGTATTACTTGAGTGTTACTAAAGTATTACTATAGTGTTACTATAGTATTACTATAATGTACTAGTGTACCGTAGTACAGTGTGTCGCTGAGATGCAGGGAGGCCGGAGCTTCAAGCTTTGAGAAATGCCTGCAGGAGCCTGCGCAAACTCCGTGGAGCTCTCCATAGAGCTCACGGGCTGCGTGAAGCGCCAGCCATGCAAAGCTCCAGAGCTGGTAAGGGCCCTAGTTCCTGGTGCAAGGAGCTGCGGCTCAGAGGAAACATCCGTTTTGGAAGAATCTTTGGCAGCCTACGAGCCATTCAGGCTGTGCTTTTGCCGTACTAACTCGCGTGTCGAGAGATCTCTAGTGTGCTGAGCAGCCTCAGGGCTCTCGCCAAGGCTTCATGCCGATTGGAAAGCTTTGACTGTCCCGCTGATCTTATGGCACCGGGTTCCTCATGCCTGGTGCAATGTGACTTGTCTGCTCCTTTTGCATACAAGTTCCATTTCGATTGTGCCCAGTCGACTGCAGTCCTGCATGAGCATGAAAGAAAGGGTCCTACCCGTAGGATGGATCTTTGACAGATTTGGTCAACTCTTGTAAAACTTGGATTCCAGGTGGATCCTGTGTAAGCATTGAAAACTGCAGCCGCTCAGGCCGCTTCCCGTTTGTGGGACAGCCGACAACTGCTCGCTGCCCAGAGGAGAACGTGATTCTAGGAGAAGGCGCCTTGGCTGCAGCATGCAGGAAACTGTTGCGTCGCTTGTGAGCATCACCAGCAGCCTCCAGGCTTGCTTTGGACGGAGCCAGACTGTAGCGTGGCGGAATGCTACGACCCAGTGCCTGAAGGCGCTCGTTCTTCCAAAGCGGCCATCAGAGCCAGCACAGCTGCACCTCATGCAATCTCATGGGCTTTCGGTATTTATAGCTGATGCATTGCATGGAGTGGGCAGGCTATCAATATGGCACAGCTGGATGGGAGTGTGCAGACGGCAACCTTCCTGCACTTGTTTTCTTCCTAGAGCTTGTGGTATGTGCAGTGAAATAAGAGCATTTGAGCGAGGTAGTGTTCATGACTTTGCTCACTCGAGGTTATTTTGGTCAGGCAATTCGCAGCTGTACCACAGATGTAAACTGCGAGCGTGAGGTTGCCCTCCAAGGCTGGGCTTGCGTTCGTGATATTGCGTGATCATGCGGTCTACAGAGCTCCAAGGGTATGCCATTGTCATCAGGCTGTACCAAGTTGAAGCCCTGCGCCCTACCAAGAAGCCGTGATCGCTGCCAGTACGACGCTCCGCCTGGGGTGGAAGAGGGAGGGTGCATTTCTCGGGGGCCGCGGCCAACCTGACATCTTTTGCAGGATGGTAAGAGCAAGGTAACTAGTGGCTTTTCGAGGTTTGCCTCCGGGAAAAAGCATTGCATAATATTGCATAGGTGCTTCTTGCACCTTTGTGTGCGGCAAGATGTGCAGTGGTTGATTCCTCTGTGATTTTGATTGCTGTCCTCGTCCTCATCCCTTGATGTCTTGTTGTCAGAGGATTTTACATCCTGCCTCACGGCGGTGGATGGCCAAAGCTGCGAGATACGATGCTTGGAGCCTTGCCTGTCAGCAGTCAACCACACTTGTAGTTGTCTGCATGGATACCAGCAATGCCAAGAGCAAGAACTGTTTCGTAGTAGAAACAGCACAAAACATGTTGCTTATTACGGTGCTTCCGTGCTGGTATGGTGGACGTATCACCTGGGCTTGGAAGGAGCAAGGAGTCAGGGAGTCGAGGTACCGTTACCCCAAGCACCGCCCCATGCAAACAAGCTGCATGTGAGTGAGCTCAAATGCTCAGGAAGACTTGGGAGTGCCTGCAAGCTCCAGAAGCTGTGGGAAGTTCTGGAAACAAAATGTGATCTCAAAGAGCGCAAATCCTTGACAATTTCCATGTTTTTGAACATGCAAACCTGAATCATGCTCTAAATGGCAGCTGCTGCCATGCCCAAGCGCTGGAAGAGATGAAGCACCGCGTTCGCCCGCGCTATAAGTGCCCGTAGCTGCAAAACTTCTGTTTCGCGGCCGACCCCGAAGCCTGCCAGGGCTGCCCTGCAAATTCGGACTTGATGATTGATCTTTTCAGGCCAGCTCTCGAGTTGTTGAAAGAAGGAATGGTGGGTTCGTGATGGACTAAGAATCCCTGTTGTGAGGTAGTGGTTGTTGTTCCAGTCGGAGTGGGGGTGGTGATGGCAAAAAATGCTGGATACCCGCTGGTTTCACTGGCGCGCTGTCCGGTGACGGGTAGCAGACCGTGAGCATGAATTGCGAAGCCTGGTACGAAGCCAGGATGAGGGTGTTTCTGATTCTCAAATTCAGAATCCAAACGAGGGACCCCAGTAAATCCTCTAAACATCCTCTCATAACTTCCATACATCCTTGCGGTCCCGCCGGTATCCCTATTTCCAGAAACTCCCATGGGACTTGCAAAAGACATGTGTGTGGCCAAGCGTAGCCTAGGAGCCCTTCTACAGCAGTCGGTCTGGAACCACGGGAGCTGGACTTGCACAGTGTCCTGCAGGCATGGGCCAAGTCAATCGGAATTCTTTCCCTGTCACTGCCGTCGGTATTGAACGTAATGCAAGTACTAATAGTTTTACTCTTAGATATTACTGCTTACTTTGCCGGTGCGCGAGACTGTTAGATTACTATCAATGTTTTTGTTACGATCGATGACTACTTTTGTTAGAAGAAGCAGCAGCAGCAGCCGCGCCGCCGCCGCTGCTATGACTATTGCAATTACTCTTGGTGTCATTATGGCTACTACTGTCACAATTTCGGTAGTGCTTTTGCCATTACCACTAGCAGTAACGTCATGATGGTCTCGAAGGTGGTCGGAGTCACCATAGATCAAAAGAAACCTGGATGTGTCTCTCTGTAGCGGCGGCGGCAAGCTTTTAGGATTGCTGCTGATGTAAGATATGTAAGGTAATCTGTGCTTTTCCACTGCAGACGGATGGGCTTGTTTTGCAATCGTGGTTGCACCCACGAGAGCTTGATACAAGCCTGCAGGAAATGTTGACCCGGAACAGGAACTTCAAGTCTTGACTGCCCGGCTGAACTTGAGTAAGCAGGTGACATGTAAGCTTCCTGACGAATCTGTCGAATCGTCTCCTCGAGAGTAGCAGACATCAGTGCCCGGGCCAGGTCGCTGCCAGACTGCGTGCCACAGTGTGACACAGAGCCTCCTCCGGGTTTTGTGGGTTCGCACGAGAGTGGTTGGCGCTGTGACGAGGGCTACCTCGGAACTGCGACCGCCAGCTGCACGGTCACAGAAGTCGGTGGGAGTTGTATTACAGAATTTGCAGCATCAGGCTGCCTGGCAATTCAACCCTGCATCCCCGCAGTGAACAACCGACTTGGCAATCAATGCATGTACGACATGGAGGCCTGCAAACAGGTCAGCGCAGGATCCACCTGCGAAATACTCTGCAAGCATCCTTTTCGAGGCACTTCCACCATTGGCACTTGTCCTGCTGACAACACAGATCCCCTCAGAATGGTGGATGCCGTCCTGCCAGATTGCGTTTTGAAGGTGCCATGTCCGGATCCAGAAGACGGAATACCACCGGAATACCGATACACTGGCAACATTCTTGATCCAGTGGCTTGCTCGAGAGGCTTTGCTGGTCCAGCCAAAAGGGAATGTGTGGCCAAGCTGGTGCCAAACAGCACAGACACCTGCTTTGCTGTGGGTAACTTTACAGGATGTGACCTGATCGTGCCATGCATGGCCCCGCAGATCTCGTCTACTGATTGCGAGCTGAACAGCACCTGCACATCCATCCTGAATGCTGGTGAAAGCTGCGAGACATCTTGCAACAAACCGTTGGAGGGGCAGATGACTGTAGCAAGCTGCCCAGCAGACAACACTCAGTTATATCGTCCAGCTATTTGGACGCGTCCGGTATGCATGTGCCCAGATCCTCCCATCATCCCTCCTGGTTATGCCCCTGCGCTGGGCGAGTGGGAATGTTTGGCTGGTTACGTTGGGCGGGCCGTGAAGCTTTGTGAATGTCAGGCAGACGAACCGCTACTACGCGGATGCCACTCCCCAGTCATTTGCGGTGCCTCGGGCTTTCAGGACACGGACATGAGAACTGGCTTCGTGGGAGGACGGCTCCTGTTTGGGCCCTCAACTCTGGATGGTATGACAGATGAGGACGGCGTGTCCAGCTACCAGGTCTTTTGGGCAGATGATTGTGGCGCCCCCCTCCCAGGCCTGTCGCCGCTGCTTACAGTACCGCCTCAAACTATGGGCGGCCCTTCCAATCTTTGGCCTGCAGGTTGCTGCAAGACAGATGTCTACTCTGTGAGTATTCCTCCTACAGAATTGCCATCCGATGCCCGGCAACTGCTGATCCTTGTGCTCACAAGCTCCGGAGCAGCGCCAGATGGATTGGTTGTTCCTGTGGAGGACAACAAGTTTGTTGAAATTGTGACAGTCCCACCCAAAGGGACGGTTGGCAGCGGATCCAACCGCAGGTGGGCTTCTCCTTTGCGGCTTCTTTTTGTGGCTGTGCTACTCAGAGCGCACAGTGAGTGGGCTTCTTAATCGCCAGGCTTGAGTCTCTGACATACCTTTTCATCATGAGATAATCCAGGCTTCCTGCTCCATCTGTAGTAGCGACGAAGCCCGAGCCTTTGTTCGCGTCAGGAGTTTGTGGTGCACGACACCATTCACAAACTTGTTAGAAGCCTTACGACCTTATGACTAAGCCAAGCTTGCAAACACGTGAGCAGGCAACATGTAAATGGCCTGGAGCCCAAATCCAAACTCAAGCCCTGCATGTGGCAGTTTTTCAGTGGCCAGCTTAAGCGCACGGACCTCGCTGCTGCCATCGCAAATGCGATGGCCCTCTGCGAGAAGAGCTGGTTAGGGTGGTTCAGGGCATGGGCAGCTCCTACTTGACATGCACCAAGAACTGGCTGTGGGATTGGCAATTTCCCAGTCCTGGACTCCCATTTACTGCCGAGGGATGGGCACAGCAGAGCACCTGCACTGTAATGGGCAGCATGACAAGTACCACACTACAAACCACGCAGGCATGCGCAGGCGTGCCCGATCGAAAGGCTCAGTGAATTCAAGGTTTTCATGCGGAGAAGACCCTCACGTATGCCTGCACAGTACAGAGTCAGTATATATATATATATATACAGACATACATGCTAAGAGGGATTAAGAGGGGCACATCCGCTCGTTTGGCTCGCGGTCGTACCAGAATTTGTTTTTGCCCGTGCTTTCTGCAACGGAAATGCCGGGCTCTGAATTCAGCAGCTACAAAACAGATCTGTTGAGGGTCCTTGTTTCGGATAGCAGGAGCACATCCGGCTGATCCGCTCCAGCAACTTAGCCGGTGGTTTTTCTTCTCACAGTGGTCACGCCGGTCACGCAGTCATCCACCCATCACGAGGGTTGCAGATTTGAGCCGAGGCAGTCCTCACATTCCGGGATCGTCTTTCAGAGTATGGGGTGTCCACCCACAACGCAGTTTGTATCCCAAACCAGTCCCCCCAGCATCTTGATCGTCGCAAGCTTGCAAAGATCTGCATGCCCGCCTTGCATTTCTCAGCCAAAAGACTCTGCTTTTTGCTCTAAGCCGTTGAAGCCTCTTCAGCGACTCGCGGACACCTTAGTGTGGCAATGCGCTTGGCAGACGGTTCTGTTGTGCACATGTCGCCAAGGTCAAACCCCTACGGTCCTGAACCCCATCTTTCAGAGAACGCAGCCTGAAGCAATGGGCGAACGCGCACACATGTCTTGCCAGGGCTCTGCCTTAGCAATGCAGACAGCTGATCACGCGAGGTTCAAAAGCGCTTCAGCTAAAAGCGTAATTTCCATCAATGACGACCTCCAGTATCGAATTGGCTGGTGTCGAAGAGGAAGTGTCGGTCATCAGCATGATTTGGCTGTTTGCTCAGTTCAGCCCAGGAAAGGTTCTCAGCTATTCTATAAGCTTGGCTAGCGTACTTGCACCCTTGTGAGGTCCTGTGTGAATGAAGCTGTCTGGTTTGCGGCCGGCTTTCTTTTGTTTCGATTGGCTCTACGCTACAACCTCTTACCTTCAAAAATTGAGCTGTGGACCCCGCAGACTATCAAAAACAAGGGTGCCTAGGCTGCATGTGAGCAAAAGCATCTTGCTTGAAGCTGCGTGGATACGTGAAGCTTCAAAAGCCCTGTTTTTTTGTAAGTGTCTCACTTGACTCCTGTTCATGACTTGAGGTACGAAGGGCGGCAAGTCGCCAAACTCAGCTTCAAAGCGTTGCGTCGCTACGCAAGAGATCTGCAATTGCAGTGAAGCCGGTGACAAGAAGGCAGTCCTTGCAAAATGGAAGCACCTCAAGAAGGATCAGGCCACAGCTGTACAGCTTCCAGGCTTGGAAGCAGTTGCTGAGGCATTGGCCCTGCACGAGCCCAGCCTCTTGGCTGACGAGCTTACGCACTACCTCACCCTGCATCCCCTGCTCGCCCGCCCCTCGAACGTCCATGGCCTCGTGGCCGTGATCTTGAAGACAGGCCAGCCGGAACTGGCCCAGGCTTTCGTCGAACAGCTCGAGGCAGAGAAGATGCACTTGGCCGTGGCCACCAAGGTCCACGACCAGATCCTGGGCTGTCTTGCAGCCAAGGGCCTGTACGCCAAAGTCAGCAAGCTCCTTGCAAGGAAGGAGCCCGACTCTGAGACTTGGATCTCTGGCTCAAACGCCGCAATTCGAGGTTTTCTCCAGGGAGGCCATCTAAAGCTGGCGATCAAGTTTGCGCAGGAATTGCAGGAGCAGGGTTGCGCCATCAGTCCAGCAGCCGCGGCCGCAATTCTTGACACATCTTGCAGCAAGAAGGACGCGAACTTCACCTTTCGTTGAGCTTTAGGGAGTGTTGTGATGCCGATAACTTCTTTTCCCACGTGCAGGAGTTCTCGATTGCAAAGGTATTGGACATGCTGGCAGGCACGCTTCAAGAAGATTGACGAGCAGCTGATTTTGTTCCCGTGGGCAGGTGTTCGGCTCCCCATGGAGTGTGCAGCCGCTGTCATGTCAACATGTTTGAAGATGGACGATCCTGCCACGGCGCCCCTTGTTTTGGTGTAGAGATCATGTGTTGCCACCATTGTGTTCCGAGGAACGGGTACATTAGGGCGCACTTGGACTGAGGCGAAAGCTGGAAGCTCGACTGAGAGCACAAGGGCAGGCCAAGCTCCTGAAACAACGGGTTTCCTCTCCTCATGCTGCATGCGCCACTTTTACAGACTACGTAGGTCCCATTTGCAGTGTTGGAGCCACTTCTCAAGCTTGCGGCGAAGCATGACGAGGAGCTTTGACAACAGAACACAACATGTCATGCATTCGGCGGTTGCCTGTGAAGTCTCGAGATTTGCAGGAATGGGCCCAGTCATTGCTGCAGGACGCCTTTCAAAAAGTGGCACCTACCGGTCACTGAGTATGGTGCGCGTATGCAACTTTAATATACTTGATGTTGCCCTTAGGAGTCGACCCAACAGAACATGTACCTGTCAGAGGGTCTTTGCGGCCTGGTTCTTTCTCGGTGTGGTGAAGCTCGTCACATTCAGCTTGCGGAGGCCTGGAAAGCTCCGTGCGTCAGTAGGCCTTGAGCAAAAGTCCCGCAGAGCCACACTCAGCACTGAGGCGATACAGCAGTACCTCCGTGAACGGAAAATGACCAGCTTGGCCACCTACAAGACCTTGATGAAGGCTCGGTTCTCGATCCCATCTTCTCGTCACTTCTGGCGCCTGGAGGTCTATGCAACGTGCGACCTCTTGGACCGCGCATGTGACCTCTACGATGATATCTTGGCCGATGGCATCTCACCTGACAGTGCTGCAACCTGAGACGCTGTTGGCAAGTCGGGGGTCCCGGGTCCCCGTCAGTGGTCATCAACATCATGCAGCAGTGCAGCAGGTCATGTACGGCTGCTTGGCCAAGTTTGCCGCCAAGTGTGGCCGCGACGGCTTGTCAGACCGCCTTTTCAGTGCAGCCTCGGACAAGCCACAGGCATGTCGCACTGCCGATGTTTTTGCAACTTGCGCAATCTCGCCTGCGTTTTCGCATGTCTGCAGGGTGGCGATGTGCAGAACTACATGTGGCTGATACGTTCGGCAGGACCTAGAGACTTGTGGCCGTTCTTGTGGTTCAGATTTATCTCTTGTCTCTTCTGGGTATTTTTGGTTTGTGCTCGCGATGGTGCTGGTGCTGGCGGCCGTGATGGTGAGCGGCTTTGGGAAATTGTTCTCTAAGATTTTTGCGTCGGTGTTGTTTTTTTTGGTATCTGCTTCCGCTTTTAGCCCAGTCAGGCCTTGAAAGCTCTGAAAGACGCAATATGTAAGATGTCATCGCCGAAGCTTGCAAAGTTCCTACACCACCTTGCAAAACGACTAACTACACCATGAAACACATGAATTCCTAAGATTATTGAGTCCTTCTATTGCTATTGCAACAGTGAAAGATCCAGCGTTGGGTTGCCAACCAGTCGCATGCTTGCAGGACAGAGGCACGATGTTCAGCGGGCCATCAATCTGCTCCGCCAGTTGCAAAATCAGAAGGCCACTTGCATTTCATTTAGCTGACATGAGTTGTTTCTTCATGTTTCTTCTACGGCCGCAGCGCTCGCATCGGACTCCGAGGCCGTGGTTGCGGATGCTGCCATCTACAATTGTGTCCTTGACGTATGCATGTCCAATGGGGCAACGGTGCAAGCAGACGAAATCTTTCAGGACATCAAGCCCGTGTAGTATCCTTTGTGGAGCCCTAGCTTTTCTCTGTATGCTGACCAAGGAGATGCTGCAAAAGAAGCTTGTCACGCTAATCACTTACAACACGTGTGGCACTTGGTCATTCCTTGCTTGGCCTGAGCTGTACAGGCGCTATCCCAAACTTCTGTTTGAACAGGCTCATGAAGGGACATGCCGCGAAGGCAGGAGACCCGGAGGGCGCATGTTGGCAGCTCCATTGGCTCACCGTCAAACCGACAGGGTGACCTGATCCGGGCACGCCAGCTGATGCAGGACATGCAGGAGCCGGGGCTTTGGCCTAGAATGTACATGCGAGAAGTTGGAGCAAGTTTTTTTTTGAGGAGGCTGGTCTGAAGCCCAACTCTGCGTCGTTCAATTGCCTGCTCAGTACCGCCGTGACTGGAGGCTGGGTCAAGATGGGGTTTCGTCCTCCAATGCACCTAACGGACCCGACTGTTCTGCTTTCGAGGCAACTACAACGAGGCCTGGTCTATCTTCGAAAGCATGCGAAAATGCGGCGTCGAGGTGCCAAATGAAGTGTCTCCGGCTGGCATCGAACTACACGTGATTTCAGCTGTGCCTCAGGCAGACAGCTTCACACTCTGCATCCTGATGAAAATTGCATGGCACCCAATCAGTCTGACCGCTCTCATCCTCCCACCACTTTCATTGATCGAGGTGCGCAAAGCCAACCGCCGAGATGCTCAGAGGGCGCTGAGCGTGCTGGATGCTTCACAGGCCAGACATGGTGGCAGATGGGAAAGTTGGGGACATGCTGAGTTTGCTGGTCAAGTCAATACTTTCACAAAGTTCTGTTCTCAGGTGGACATTTGCAAGGATGAGGTCCTCCTTAACACCGTATTGGATGCCTGCATACATCTCAAGGATGAGCAGAGCGTCAAAGCAAGATGAGTCTTGCAATGTCTTGCCAGTTGAAGTTGTGTCCAACCTTCAGGACACCAGGCGGCTTTCTTGGATTCTGCGTGACTTTGAAGCAGCCACGCTGCTGCCCACTGTGCAGAACTACGGCCTCATCATCAAGGCCCGAAAGGTTGTTCAGACGGCCAGCGGTGCCATCGGGTCGTGTGATGTTGTGTGTGTGTGTGTTCTTGCAAGGCTTACGCCTGCCTCAAGCAGACGAGAAAGTGCTGGGCCAGCTGGCATGAGATGACAGACAAGAGCCAGCGAGGTTCCGAAAGATTCTCAAGTGCGCTAGGCGCTTCTACAGCAGAATGTCTCAACAGGCCTGGTGCCGTCGGATGTGGCGCTCAGCTGCATGCTGGACAGCATTGTGAGCGCTGGCCAGGTAAGGTTCACATAACTGTTCCAGAAGAGTGCTGAAAGCTAATGCAGCTCAGGATGCATAGCTGTCATCCCTCTCGGTTCATTGTACGCAGGTGGAGGATGCTGTTACCTTGTTTGAGCAATGGCGCAGCGTGGTCCCTCCAAATACGATCATCTACTCGAACATCATCAAAGGCGTCCAGTGACGGGCACAGTCAACTTGAGCAATTTGCCCAATGGGGTCACCAACGTCACTGCTGGTGTGTTTGGAGGCTTTGCTGCACAGGGAGATGCTGACCGGGCGCTGGACATGCAACATAAGTAGCAAACAGAGCATGGGACTTCTGTGCACTCAACCTGACACGGCTTCACTGTCCTTTATTCTGCCCAGGTACCGCCAATTGCGAGCAGAAGGATTGAAAATGAATTTGGTGGCATATTCCACCCTCATCGATGCCCAGGCAAACAAAGCAGTCTTAGAGAGATTGGACTCAGTATGTCTGCCTGTGCTGGCAAAGGCACGAGCCGGAAAGATTGATAAGGCACATGCCCTTCTACGGGAAATGCGAGAGGCCGGGAGAGTAGGGGATGTACATATGAACTAGAGACTAAACTCCTTACAGGGGACTATATTGGGGCTTAGAAAGGGGAGTACGGATATTAAGGGGGATACTAGGGTTTTGACTATAGCTCCTTTACCCCTACAATGGTACCTATATTCACTCCCCCACTCCCGGTTACTTAAAGTTACTTGCTGGACTGCTGTGAGCTGCGGCGGCGGAACCGCATTTGGTGTGCCAGGATGGTGTGGAACCCAACACCATCACGTACTCATCGCTGGTGAGTCCGGGTTGCAGGGTGAGAGAGTATTTAGCACTAATGATAACAAGTGTGACAGTGGCAGTATTGGTGGTAATTTTGCTGATCATAATAGTAGTTATAACAACAGCGATGGTACTTAAACGTCTCTTTGGCTTCTCCGAGGAAGGGGCACTGCAAGGAAGGTGACCTGGACGGCGCCCTTACAGTCTTCGAGCAAATGGTGGCAAGCGGAGTACTCCCTGACACGGTCATGCTCCTTGGCCATGGGATGCGAGAATCCTGCAGATTAGGGTTCAGGTTTTCTGGTTTAAGGCTTTACAGGGATTTGGGTGCAGGACAAAACGCCTCAGCAATCCTGTGGTGTTTCCGCTCAGGTACAACACCTTGCTTGATGGCTCCGTTCGTGCTTGTCGCTTTAGCCTGTGTGATCAGCACCTGAGACGCAAGCACCTGTTGCTTGTGTGAGTTGTAGTACTTGCTGGCAGGGCTCAAGTGATGGCGCGGTCGCATGCCGAGGCTGTTGAAAGAGATGGAGCAATCTGGCGCAGAGCCATCCAACTTTACTTTGTCCATTGTGGTAAAGACGCCTGGAACTGTTTCACAATAAACTGCACATGACATCTTCTTCAGCGGCGGGACTTGCAACAGCCTTTGGTCTGTTGGTGCCTTGTTGGGCTCTGCATCTCAGGATGTGGGGCAAGCGCAAGAAGTTGGACAAGGCATTTGAAGCAGTGCGCTCGCATGCGAAGGCAGGCAGCATGCTTGTTGTACAAAGGGCGCGTGCCTTTGCGGTTGCCGTGCTGCTCCTGCAGAGACAGCAGCAGCGGCATCAGCAGCAACAGCAGCTGCAACAATAACAGCAAAACAGCACAGCAAAAGCAGCAACAGTAGCAACAACAACAACAACAGCAGCAACAACAACAACAGCAACAGCAGCAACCTCCACCAGCACCAGCACCACCAGCACCACCACCGCCAGCAGCAGCAGCAGCAGCAGCAGCAGCAACAACCACCACCACCACCACCACCACCACCACCACCACAACAACAACAACAACCACGACGACGACGACAAAGTTTCACGGGATCATATGTGTTGCAGAAGGATTGCTAGGATGATGTCTCAGGATATCT